TATGTGAAGAATTGTTATTCGTGTACGAAAGTTTAATTCAGTATAAAATACACATTTTTCTAACCTGAGAGGTTTACGATTGCTAACATTACTAAATTAAACTGCCATCCCAATAATATTCGAGTAATAAATATTTAAACTGTCATAATTTTATAAAAAAAAATAATCGTGTAACACTAAACCCAGGCATATTTTAACCCTCCGAGTACAGCAGCATAGTGACCCATGCCGGAGTCACTGCTGACTCACACCGATACTTCACTAACCAAGCTCGAGACCCTCACCAATACTATACGAGCACAATTACGGTTCGAACTCTAGACGTTACTATAATACACTGTAATAGATTTCGAGTTATGGATTTTAGTTGTATGTATACAAAGAAATAATAGACTGATAAATTATAAAAGAATTATATGTATTGCGAAGTATTGCATTCATTGCATATAATTTTTGGGATTTTTGTTGTGTGGGCATTAGCACGCTTATTGTAATAAAAGGATGATTGTATGGTGGATTGTATTTCACTAACTATACAAATATTGCGTGTATGATACGATGTGTACTGCTTCTCTGCTCATGAAAGACTGACTGACTATTGCTAAGAGACTAAATGTTGCTTTTTGGTATCAGCGAAGGATTCTTTTTCCTAGGCTTGGCTTTGTTTCTACCCTTACCGAGATGGGAGAATACCAGGACATCTAGAAATTCTCGGCGAGGTCGAGCTATGGTGGGGGTGGTTTCATTTTTCGCCTCACACAAATATGTAGCTTCTCTCGCCAGTGACTCCGGCATGGTATTCGTAGGGTTAAAGCTCGAAGTCTCTACTCTCAAATTCTTTATTTCATTTATTTCAGGGCACGTCTTTCTTCTCGAAAATGCTAATGATATGTAAAAACGTTGAAAAGTTTCTTTCAAATGAAAATTTACGCGACGCCGTGATTCAGTAAAGTTGTGGCTCGTGCAAATGATTAAATTTGTTTTAATTATTCTTGCGTTACGACAATTACAGACCCAATAATAATGATTGCGAAAAGAAATATAGTAAATGCAATTATGATTCAATGTCTATCCAATAGTAATTATAATTCAATTAACCGTATCTATAATCAACTATGATTTCTAATCTCTGACTATTTTCTCACGACGAAATGACCAACCTACGTTCACCGAATTATTTATCAATTTCCTAATTAATTAATCTTTTCCGCAAACAAATCTCTTTCAATCATTTCCATTTCTTTAACTTTCTAAGATGAAACTTTCTCATATGGTTCCAATGAAAATCTCGTCCAATGAAAATATATAACTTATGTTCCAAAGTTTGTAAATCGTCTCCGCAGATTCTCATTGCCAAATTTCTCTGAGCAAAGAGAAATTCCACGGATATATTCAGATACAGCACTCGAAATCATATTCATTAGTTAATTTTGGAACCTCTTCGGGCAATGTCCGAAAAATAAGAAGAATACTTGTCAAAAATGTTACGTCACATGTATATTAAAAATGATTAGAAATGAAGAAAATTTAATTTACATTCAAACGATCTATATTGAAACGATACTTACAGTCTTCAAATGATAGAAGATTTCTGAAGATTAAACTTTTAATCCTCAATAATTTCCAATAATTTGAAGACTATGAGCATTGTAATAAATTCACTTACACTTTCGCTGTAAGTTATAACTTGTTTGTATTGCCTCACCTTTCCTTAGGCATTAATTCATACTTCAATAATTGAATATTATCATCAATAAATAGTATCGAAGGCTCCTTACAGAGGGATACAAATTTCTAAATTCCTAAATAAAAAAAGATCTAAAAGTTAAAAGAGCTCACTGGTGCATAGATAAAAATGTAATTCGATAAATTAACAAAACGAGTATTGACTCGCGTCGAAAAAAATTACAAAAATGAACCAAAAACCGAGAACTGAGAGCGACAACCGGCTTAAAACGAAACTTATCGAAGGTGAAAATAATCCTAAATGATCTTTACTATCTGTTTGCTGGAACTGCCACGTGTTACTCGGTAAATGAATTACAGTTAAACCTGCGTCACCGAGAAAAATTAAAATAACATATGAATATCGAAGGTAAATAATATAATCATAATATCTTGTTGATAGTATGAAGTTTGACGACAAAATTGCGATTATGATTGTAACATTATGACTACGTCGTCAATAACATAACTTCTATTTTCTTTATATTACTATATTAAGAAATAGTACGGAACATCAAATTTGATGAAAATGACTATATACTTAAGCAAAATAATAATTTAAAAAAGAAATCGATACACGAATAATAATTCTAAACAAATCAGCCTTCCGCAAATTAGTCAGTCACCCTTTAACAACCCTCAAAAATATCGAATGAAACGAAACCACCCAAATCATCTAAAATTTTAACCTACGAATTACTTTCTATCCAATCAGATTCCTCCATCGTTAAACTAACTATTAAATTTCTTACGTTCGTCGTTATATAAATCCAAATAAAATCGTTCGAAATATCAATCCAAAGAACATCGAAATTCTCACTGGCTGTCAAACAACAATGAAAATGAGATTGCAACGTTACGCGTTACAGATGTAACGTTTCATAAATTATGAACGATCGAGATTCACGTTCGTGTCTCGAAGCGGCGAGGAGTTTCACCTCGGCCAACCAACTTCCCTCCGACGAGAAAGGAATTGCACTCGTGTATCGCGGCCAGAAACGAATCGTTCGAAATCGAGAGATCGAACACAATCGTGTTTCCACGTTTTTGTTTTTGTTTTTTTTTTTCTCTTTTTTTTTTTAGAAAGGAACGAGAGAATGGCCTACGTTCGAGGCGAAATGTCACGCGGCCGAGGGGGTCGCATCGTTGTCGCGTATCACAGAAAAAAACTAATCGCGTGTCGTGGTGAACACCAGTGGGAGAAGGTCGCGAACCGAAAGTCCACATGGAGAACGAACCGAGCGGAGGCTTTCTTTGTTTTTTTACAACCAATTCAGGCGATACGATATTTGTTTCTTTTAATTGTCCATTTTGCAATAATCATTAAAGATTTGATCCATTGGTTAAAGATTTGGTTCGTTAGTTACAAATAAGTAAGTGCTGTTCGTGATTCATCGGTTACAAATAAGGGATAGTAATAATACGCTTACTGCCCGGCAAACTATATATCACTGTCAAACCTAATAAAAATTCTGTAGTATTATCTGCCTATTATAACTATCGTTTCCGGAGACTAGTCTAATTAAGATATAATCTTCGAACAGCTTTAGCAAACCAAAATTTTAATAGTTATATTCCCTTATAGTTATTAAAATTTAGTTTTACTGTTCGTAAAAAATTGAATTATCGTTGATAAAACAATTACAGTTAAATAGAAAAAAAGCTGTAACACTCTAACACTGCTAAATTGAATTGCGAGAAAATTTAGCTTGACATTTATGACAATTTAATTTAATAAAGCACGCGGATGACGAAAGTTGATCTCATCTCTTGCGTTAACGTCATCATTCGTTAACGATAATTTCCCGGATTGAAGTGAGGAACATAGCAGATAACAGTAAGCAGTTTTAACTCGCTAATTTTCTTTCTTTTTTTTTTCGAATCGGCAACAACCGAAAGCAGCGTTCGCAAATTTCTGTGTTTTCGAAACCAGCGTTCTGCCTTTAATTAGGAAACATGTTCGTGTCCATTTTGCCAGATTGCAAATAGCACTTGGAACAGGCGTACAAACAGCGAAAGTTGGATTTTCGTTGAGTTATGTGAACGGTGCCTCTCGGTTGTCGCCGATTTGGAAAAATCGCCGAATCGATCGGGGGGAAAAAAAATCGCATCGCCTCAACTGGCTGTTATTTTCTCGCTTTAGATCGTAACCGTGCGTGTATCTGGCCTGGCCGTGAATCGCGCGACTCGAGTGGCGTTTGATCGACGCCAGTTTTCGATACGGTTTTTGTTTTTCAACGATTTCGTCGCGTACGCCGAACAGCGAAACGACATATCCATGAATTTACTTGTCTGTACGATGTCGATGATATTTCTAATCTGTTTATCGTGTGTCTTGTTTCAATCGGGAATTCCTACAATTAGAAAGTTGAAAATGAACAGAAATGAATCCACTTCGGATGAGGATTCTGTCGAATTCATTTTGAGGAGAAATGAAGCAATAGTATTAGATTATCGATAAAATCTGTAGAAACGGAAGATTTGGAATCGTAGTGATTAGGTAATTTAAGCCGAACAGAAACCGAGTGGAATTTTTGACGATCAAGTACTTGAGTCCCCTTGCACGATAATTTGACTACAATACTAGAGAAGAATAATAATAAGTAAATTGTAGATTTTTGGAAAATTCGTTTCCAAATGGATTTTTGGCATTTGTGGAAAATTAAAAACTAAAATACTTAAATTACGTGTAATATGTAATAGAGTCTAAAATATATCTAAGAAAATTAAACATCTAAATAAAAAAAATGTATATAAGAAGATTAATATGTATTTAATTTATATTATATATGGTAATCGTATAATAGATTGATATAGTAATCAATTAATTAAATTAGATTATATTCTATAAATGAAATTATAAACTGTACAAACTTGTGTTGATTACACAGTCGAATCATCAAACTTCTAATTTGTACGATTTATTATAATAGAGCTTCGTTTGCTTTATCAACTATTGCGCGAAATTAAAAGTTTTTGGCAAACTTTTGACTTGTAAAATTTCGCTAATAATAATTAACTTAACGGTGCAAGAAAACTCAAGTAGAATATTTATACATGTCACTAGATTTGCAAATGGAGGAACTAAACGAAACAAATTATTAGAAATCAAAGAGAAAGTATAACAATCCAAGTGAAAGATTCGTTAAAAACTAGTTTCAAGTCAAAACACGATTATATACTGTATTTTTGAAACGAAAGAGTGTTTAATTTGAAATTGACATTGTAAGCACAGTATCACATTAATTTCACATTCAAATTTTCAAATTATTAGATTGTTGCATTACAAATATCTTTCTCGAAATCTCGTTTTGGTAAATTTTTCGTATTATTTTTCATCAGTTCATTACCTTTTCCAACAATTTCATTTCAAATAACTGCATGCTTCATTCATTTCTATATACAATGTGCAAAAACACATTTATATACGAGATTATTACTGCTTGTAGATTACCAGATTATTTTTGCTTCGTAAATATAAACACGATGAAACAACAGGGACACCAAGTATTTACTAACAGAGTAATACGACAACCGTAATAATAATCGATTCAAACCGATTTTACCGTGTACGCGGCAAAATTTTTATTTTAATCTAGAATCTATAATCTCACTGTTGTCTTTCACCTCGAAAATTCTCTAAATTTATAATGCAACAACCTAGCGCGACAATGAAAAAAATCTTTTACCACGTCGCGTAGTCACCAAACAACCAACTAAAAAACACGATCTTCCAATTAAATCGAATCCTCGCCGAATCTGTCATTTCTATCACGATCGAATCGTTCGAACGAACTCACGACCAGCCAGACGAGTAACCGCGCGTGTCATTCACGATCATCGAGGAATCACTGTTTCCACAAACAGAAACTCAGAAAAATTCGCACCTGCCCAATCGGTCGATTCTCCTAAAGCGTGCTCCGTGGACGTGTCTCGAGACGCCCCATCGCATCATCCGCGCCACACCGAACCCCTTTTTCGACAACGATCGAAAACTGGAAAAAAATCCAGCCGCGCGACTCTCTCACCTCCGACTCGGATCGGCTCCGATCTCCTCCGTTCGAGCATCATCTCACACGATGTCCTCCTCGTCGTCTTCCTCCTCCTCCTCGTCGTAATCATCGTCGTGGCCGACGGCCGGCCAGCATGCTTCGTTGTCCTCGCAGCGTCGTCTACGTCGCTGTTGCGACTGCTGTATCGACGCGGAGACGCGCAACGACGTCGACTGTGAGACAGCGGCTGTCGATTGCACGCCGGTGACCAACGACGAGGACGAAGAGGACGACGAGGAGGACGACGAGGAGGACGATGAGGAGAGTGGTTGTTGCTGTTGTTGCTGTTGCTGCTGATGTTGTTGATGATGATGAACCTGGTGGTCCTGATTGTGGTCAGGAAGAACAATGTTAGCGGTGGTCGAAGGGTTGCTCGCGGCTGCGGTGGCGGCGTACGCCGCTGCTGCAGCGGCTCAGGCCAAGGCGTAGGGGTGAGTAGGGTGGTGTCACAAGCCCGGAGCAGCGGTGGCGACGGAGGACGGCGGAGGCGCGCTGCTGCTAGCCACGCTTGTAGCATGATGGTACAACGGGCTTTGGTAATACTCTTGATGATGATGGTTCGTCATGTTGTGCATCGGGCCAGCGGCGTTCGAGCCCGTGTGCATACCGTTGTGATGGTGGTGACTCGGTGGCGCGGAGTGCGCGTGTGGGTGATGAGGCGAGCCGAAGTTGGCATAGCTCTGGTGCAGCTGCTCGTACATCTTCATCTCGGGTGGTTTGATGTCCTGAGCACCCGGTGACGTGCCCGCCGCGCCTGGCAGTAACCTGGTGATGCTGAACGGATGGCTGGCAGCTGTGTACGGCGGCTCTTGCTTCAGACTACCGGCCATTCCGTGATGCAGAGCCGCCGTCGGCTCGGAGATCAGATGAGGATGAAGACTTCGACTAACCATGGCGGTGAGTTCGTCGTGAGTGGTGCCTAGGTCGGGCAACAGGCCGCCTATGTCCGCTGTGTCGCTCTTTAGCGCGGTGTGATGCTGGTGGAGGCCGGCCGTGTGATGATGGTGATGCGAGGACACCAGAGAATGGAGATCCTTGTCGTCTTGCTGTTGGGATCCGTGGTGCAGAGAGGACGCTGTCTTTTTACCTGCGTGGGCAGCTTGTGGCAAAAGTTCGTGAGATGTTGGACTGCTGTGCCCGGCGGCAGCCGCAGCCGCTGCTGCGGCAGCGGCCGCTGCCGCACCGTTGTGATGCTGTTGATGCTTGTTCTGCCTCGTTAGCTCTTTCTTCTCATCTTTGAACCTCTTCTGCCGACGCAAATAGCATCCATTCTCGAACATGTTCCCACTCTCGGGATGCAAAGTCCAGAAAGAACCTTTGCCCGGCTTGTCCGGTGTGCGCGCCACCTTGACGAAACAGTCGTTGAAGCTGAGCGAATGCCTGATGGAGTTCTGCCAGCGTTGCTGATTCTGCCTGTAGAATGGGAACAGGTCCATGATAAACTGATAGATCTCCGACAAGGTGAGCATTTTACTAGGAGCGTTCTGAATGGCCATCGTGATCAGGCTGATGTAAGAGTAGGGCGGTTTCGCGTGGGTGTAACTTCGGCGGTAGGACTTGTCGGTTCTGGCTCGTTGCAAGGCGGAATTCGGCGAATCCGGCTCAGCAAGGGAAAGAGGATCTCTGGTGACACCGGCGCCGCCGCCTGGTGTCAGAGGACCATAGCCGACGGCGCTCATACAAGCACCACCGCCGCCCATCGAGGCGCTTCCATAACCACCCATGCCACCGCCGCCCATCGACGCCATCCCCATAGCTGAACTCATGGTGCTCATGTTGAAACCCCCAGCCCCTTGAGGGCTGCAACTTGGCCCGACACCGACACCCATCGACATACCCATCGGCATACATCCTACCGAGTTGATCGAGCTGTACGTCGGCGCCATGCTGCCCATCGTAGACATCGCGGCGCTGGTCATCGCGCCGCCGAGGCTACCAGTGTCGCTGTACAGCTTCTGCGACTGGAGCATGGTCATAGAGCTAACCGGTGCCGGTGTGGCGGGCTGCTGTCTGCTTGTCAAACGAGAATCATGAAAACCGCGGTACCACGGCTGTTGTTGGTAATGCGACGCCTCCCGAATCTTCTCCTATGGAACGGAAATATCTGGGCACACGCCCGAAAACACGCCACTCCAGTTACTTCAACTTACTTACTCACTCGGACCACAATAATTATCTTATGTATTATCGATCAACTTTTATTCGATCCAAGTTGAACCCCGATATGTATGTATTATGTATCACTGATATATCGCCGTCCTCGATGATCGAGTGGATCGTAAGCCTTCTTCACAACCGTAACACTCCGCACACTCCGAAAAATCCCCGAAAATCCACTGAATACCTTCGGTAGTAGGTACCGATACCAACCGATACTACGACCCCGACGTATATTTATACGACGTAGAGTATTATCCTCTTCCTCTTCCAACACAACAAGGATCGTCAAAGTACACCTCTCGGATACACAAATATCTCAGTACGAAACTCGGTCGGTGACTGGGCCGCACTGTTCCATTGCGAAAACCACGGACACGATGGATCCAAGGTGAAAATCCAGGATCGCTCGATCGTTTCGACAACACGCGGCGAGACAACTGAATCGCGGGAGAACAACGGCGGTGAATCGACGCGCGGGGCTGGTCGCGCGCGGCCAGCAACGAGCACACGAGCTGAAGACACGATCGACGTTGTTTGAGCGGGGCTCCGTGTGTGTTTGAGACCGCCTCACCTCCCTCATTCACCAGTTTTCGTTCTATGTCTCTCTGTCTCTCTGTGTAGCGTGTGGATGAAGGCCGGTTAGCGAGTGTACTCCGCTACTCTTGAGTCTCCCGATCTTGTTCAAACACATTCCCACTCTGATCCCAAACCGCCGCGCCTGTCCCGTGTTCACCGACCAATCGACAATCTCTGAACCCTACCAGCCGCCGATTCAAGCCAATGGGAATGGAACGGAGGGCGACCAGCGTGTCCCCTTCGTATCCGGTGAATCGGTGGCGCGACAATGCAAGCGGAGAAACAGGCAGGCCTTCCAACGTTCCGGCGATCGAGTGAAACGCGCAGCTGCGGGTTATCCCGCTTGCGCATTATCCCGCAGGACTCCGGGCAACCGGCGCCCGGCCACCACCGTCCCGACGGCCGCGTCCCGACGCTCCTCTCTCATGTCATGTCAACTGTCTGTCTGCCACGCGTTTGACACCTATCGGCGCGCGTCACGCGACGGGAGCTGATTCTCTTCTTCTCTGCATTCCTTTCTTTTTTTCCTTTTTCTCTTTCTTTTTCCATCTTTGAACTTTGCTTTTCTTTCTTTCTTTCTTTTTCGAAGGGTTTTTTTTTTTTTTGGTTTTTACTTTGGTTGGACAATTTTCTTCTCTCTTCGTTCTCCCTTGGGTTCAAACTGGACTCGCAGTTATCCCGTGGTTTTCGTTTGTTTGTCGCTGTTTGAATTTCGAACACGCGTCTGTTCTGTTTGGTTCAGTGAGTTGGACACCATGAGTTGAATTTTTGGAAGAAAGTTTCCGAGGTGAGTTCCTTTTCATTCCTCGCGACGAAGTCATGGCCATGTGACTTTTTGAGGAGCTTGGTGAGAGAAGTGAAAGAGAGTGAAAACGGCGACGCGACGGTTTCGGAGCAAGGTTCGTGGATTGCTTGTGAGATTCGCTTTCGTCAAGGTAGAGTTTTTGTGAGTTATTTTAATGCTCAAAGATTCCGCAAAACTGACAATCCGACGAAAACTGTGTCTGATTTAGCCCTAAAACAATATAGTATAGTACAGCATAGTATAACGAAACAAAGTTATAAATGCCAATAGCATAACGTGCATCATATTACTAAAATCTTGGTTGTTTCAAATTTCTACTTTACATTTCCTCTCGTGGAGATTAATAATAAATAATACTCGCTTCATTTTATAACAATAGTTTGATTGTAACACTTGACAATCAGAATTTCGTTCATTTAATAACACATTTTCAAAATTTTTTAGAACCTAGTACAATTTTTATTGAAATTTGATCGAGATCTTTATATTTATGGAACAACAGTAAAATTATTTATACAAGTATGTGTAATTTTATGCTCGCAGGCATCGATCAAACACGATCCTCAATATTACCGAATTTCAATTTCTCAAATCTTCAATTTTTATACGACAAAATTATTCAGTTAAATCACTGAAACTTCGACCGAAACTTGCTATTGTTAAAATAAATGGACGGTAAGATAATAAAATACGCTAGATTTAGTTCACGAAGGCAAGCAAAATAAGAGATGCAAGTGTGTATAATATAATTTTTAACGTAACACGTCGCTGCAAATGTTTAACTTTATCAAGACTGAAAGAGAAATAGTTCGTCAGTTTCACTGAACTCTCCGAAAATGAGGATGTTTCTTCTTCTTTCAAGGCGATTTCTTTAACGACAGGTTCGACAATAGCGACAGTATATAGAAACAGAGTAAATATTGAAGAATAGCATGTGGCAGTACGTTAGAATCATCTACCTTGGAAAATGGATCATTTGAACAAATCCAACAACATAAATATTGAAGCACGGCAAATTACAGGGAGTTTGGACTGGCTCGATCAACTTACATAAGAATACTGCCGCTTTCATTACCTATGTCAAAGCTAGATAACTCAAACAGTCCCCGATAACATTTAATTACAACAACAAATATACACGCATAATATTTATCTATATCCGTGTAACACACTGATAACTCTAAACATCCAGCGTAAATTTGTCGATATTTACGATCGAATTAAGCCTCTTCTACTATAAGTACACTCGAATTCCTTTCGAGAGAGAACAAATCACGAAACAGTCGCACGCTTACTTACCTAAGTATTTTTTTAACAAGAAAGAAATCACCGGCTGATCAATTAATTAAGTTTTGAATGTTTTTTCGATTCTTCCCTAAATCATTTGATAGTCTCCCTAGTAGCTTTTTGAATTTTACGCTTTCGGTCTTTCGATTTTCACCTTCAACAAATGTAAGAATTTTCATTGTATATTTATATTCTGTCCAATTAACAAATTTCTAAACATTCCTCTTTGATTTTTCAAAGTGTAAAATTCATTACTAAATCGTTTCTCGCGAAAGATAATGAAAACGATTTCACTCCGTCTCGACGAAAATAATGTTTCAAAAAAAGAAGAAAACACACAGGTAAAAATAATATTAATAAATCGTCGTTCTCGAAGTAGACAACGGGAATCGTTCGAATATATAATTTCACGTGGGAAAATCATAATGGTGCATGGGTACCTGTCTGACAATCGAGTTTTGCAATCGAGTTTTCCGCTTTTTCGGCGCGTCGCGTCGCATCGCTCGATCAGCGCCGATTAATCGTTTATCGCGTCTCGAATAATTAACCGTCCGTGGCCCATGAATATTAAACGCGCGTAATAAAAAGAGATCGGATTTTCGGCGGATAATTCGGTTAGCTTAACTCGATCCAGTCGCGCGGTTTCCTCTGTCGCTCCCTTCGTCGATTCGACGCCTCGAAGCTCGCAAGTCGACCGATTTCCTCATCATCATTATTTCGTCATTGTCCATCGATTCCTTCCTAATTACCATATTACCTCAGTAACTGTTTATCGACAATTTTTTTTCATTGAAATAACTTTTTTTTTAAGCAACGTGACATGTCTGTTCTCCCTGTTTCTTCACGGGGTAAAACGATGAAATGAAATTGTTGAATAATTTTGAACGATGCAATTTATGAATTGACAAATAAGTATTATTTACGTAACACGTGTGTATTACTTATAATGATTACAATTATATATTATCTATCATTATTTTATTATATTTATATGCATGTTAAAGCGAGGAAAATAGTTTGTTATTATATAAATAGTAACTTCGATATTTTTGAACTTTGTAAAATTCTTTGTTGAGAATCGCCTGTCATGATCAAAAGATTTAGAAATTCAAGGGTGAGATTTAAAAAATATAAATTGCCTGGAAGGAAAGAAAATGGGAAATAAAATATAAGAAAATAGGAAATAAATTATGGGAATTGCAATATAATTCACGTGTCCTTTGAATTTTATAGCCCAAAGCGATTATTTCTTCCAGAGTTAAAACAATTTGTTAACATACAACGTACCAAAAATTTAAAAAACTATCCGCTAGATCGTCAAATGGAAGATTTTATCGATAATTATTCCAACTACAACATCTTTAATAAATTATCAACAATTTATTTCTATTCAATAATCTTAACGTAATATTTTTTACATTCAGATCCAATAGTATGACAACAGCTTTCCATCTACAAAAAGAATTGCGAAATTTTTTTTTTCATCGATTTTTACAATTTTCACGATCTTTACGGCAACGTTGAATTCTGGGGAAACAGAGGAAAGAAAATAATCAAAGAATGAATCGATCATTGCGATCGACTCGAACGATCATGGAATTAGCGATCCCGCTGACGTAGTTGGTTATTTTTCGAGGAAGTGCGAAGTACTGTCTAATATACGCGACTCGAAATCTCAAGAGAACACAACGAAGAAGAAAGCATTGAAGGGTGTCGCATTTATTCAACGACTTAACACGTTCCCCGTGGTGTAAATCACCAATGGACGGTGACCCATTTTGCTCGTCACGAAGGAGAAACCTCTTTTGCAATTTCAGTCGCCATTAGAAACGAAACGAGAAGAAAAATTCTGTACGGTCCAGTGAAATTCAACATAGTTTCGCTAGTACACAGTATTAAGAAAAAAAAAAAAAATGAGAACAAAAATATATTTACACTTTATATATTTTATATTTAGCAAGAGAACTTTCTTTTGGAATTTTTTACAGCATTAATTTTTTACATTATTTATGTTCTTGTGTAATTTTCGATACAGTATCTTTTTACAGTTGAAAAATTTTTTAAATAAGGAAAGAGTATATAAGGAATATTATTGCAACTTCTCGTTTCAGTATCATGCTAAAGATTACGCTTTAGACACCCAAAGTTTCTTCATTTAGTCAAAAGCAAGATTACGACATTAAAATTATAAATTATAATTATGAATTAAAATTATAAAATTATAAATATAAAATTGTAACTAATTTTTGTAGAAAATACAGAAATTTAATCAATCTATTCAATTTAGACTTCAAACAGATAGAAAATTACGCTTTTCAGTGATAACAAAATCTCATATTTCTCGTATTTCTCAAAATTAATCAGTAAGAAGAAAATATTATATTTGAAAAAATTCTGTGTACAAAAGATTGCTAAAAAAAATTGACTTGACGTCGGCTTAACGTCACGTAGACACTAACAATGTAAACGAGACACCATTACCCAAGTGAACAACCTGGCGCGACATTATTTATGATAAACAGCGAACCAGTCCGCGGTGTTAATAATTTTACATGCTGTCGCGCGATGCACAATACGATGGTCCCAGAACATGCATACGTGTGTTAACGGTGAATTAAATATCGAGTTAGTCGTCGATTAATCGTCGCTAGTTCCTCTCGCGCGAGTAATCGTGCCTGCCAACGTTCGTAAACGCGATAACGTTTGCGTGAAATTGATCCTGTAATTAGCCAGCTGCTGAAACACATCGATAGGGATAAATCTGAAATCCGAATGTAAATTTCATTTTTAGAGAATATTCGCCAATCAAATACTTTGACAATGGGAATCAAAATTCATGGAAATTGTAAACTATCTACCTTCTTTTAGATATTTACGATCAATTATCCATTACATTGATGAATCTCCTTATTTATTGTTTCAGTGAGATCACATTTAATACTTGTACGTTTAAGATAATTATTCGTACGAAATTTATATATTTATTTATATATTTCCAGATTGGTTACAAATTTTTATGCAAATTCATATCTATACGGGCACAATTAACTGATTAGTAAATACAATTGAACTGTATTAGTAAATATTAGTTATTAAGTAAAATCTAATAATTAAATATTGATCTTGCTGGTAAATATTAACCCATCTAAATATCATACTACAATAAATACCAGTAGCGTGCCAATGCTTTTCAAAGTTCGCAAGGAAAAAGAACGTACATTCGTCGAACGATTAATATCTCTTTCGACCAGTCTCCATCGACGCGGATTAACATTATTGCAGGATCACTGCAAAGTACATTTTTAACTTTATTAAGCCGCAGCTAGTATACGCTTCGCAAACACGACTCTGCCCCCGGAAGATCGAGAGATCCGGTAATCTCGGAAGCAGCAGCTTGAAATTGCCGAACGATTCGCGGATCGTTTGCTCCTTTAATTGCAACTCACCCTCCGCTCTCTATCCCTCGTTGAAAATTGTTTTAAATTCAACTAAATATCGACCCGAGTCGATTAAAAGAAAATTCGTTGTTACTCTGTTATTTTTTTATTGTGTGAAATATTTTATTTTATTTTTCCTCTTAAAGTCAGTCCTGTCAGTGAATCTAAAAGAGCGTGACGGTATTGATTGACGAATTGGAAATTCGATGGTTTCGCCTTCAAGGATTTTTTTAAACATATAACAGTAAAAAATATATGTAACAATACATCTTTAAAATAATACAAAATAAATACAAAGTAATACAAAAAAGAAAAGCGAAATTTATTTTCTGAGAAAACATAGTTCTCTCTAAAAAAAAAAAAGAGAAGATATTATTCTGTGAAATTTGTTATTACTTCCTCTCCT